TTTTCAATTCACATGTTCTGGGAGATTAACTATTAACAAGAACTCCCACAAAACCCTTTGGTGGAGCCCCATGGCCTGAAGTATAAAGTCCAAGCACTCTAATGAGGTACAAGCTCTCTTTCCGCATCGGCCCTGCCTACCTCTCAGCTCCAACAGCAGCTCCTACTCCCCCAAAGCTTAAGCTCCAGAAACACGGAACTGTTTGCAATTCCTGGGCACAGCGCAAGGATTCTGGTTTCAGCGTCTCCGTGCACGCTGCACCCTTTCCCTCCATGTCTCCCACCTTAGTTCCATTCCAGCTCACGTGCCACTTTCTGTAGAAAACCATCTGTGATGCCCTCAAGTTGGGTGTGGTAGTTTCTGGGGCCATAACTCCCCCACTGGATTGCATGGCATTGTAACTGTGTACACCCATTTCCCGTTGTGCCACGGACTACTAAAGGGACCTCATCTTTGTCTCCACGGCATCCACCAGGAGTTCAATAAAAGTTAAGGCAATAAAGAAGGCACTTGCACCAGAAAATTACGTTACAGAAAAGCAAAGGTTGGACTTCAATGACTGCTAGGTCCAAGAAAACCTCAATTAATCAGAGCCGACTAACTTTCTGAATTTACTGGAATTTGCAAAGAGAGAATAATTTGCTGATGCTTAAAGAAGTCTCAGGAAGAAAACGTTTTTACCAAGAAAATGAATGAAAAAATGAAAAGGTAATTTCTAGGGTATGTCATAGCATAAGCAAGAGTTAGCATAATCTTCTAAACCTTCTACATCAATTCCAGGGGCCACCTCAAGACTATTTAAAAGCTACTGGGGTTCCTCAAAACTATTTACAAAGATCTTTAATCTACTATAGTCTGAATATCAATGTACGTATAATTCAATAATGATGCTGCATTAATATTTTAAATGTATGTTAATATTTGAGGTTAAGAAAATATCAATCCATTTAAAGCAATCCTTAACTCACAGAGCCAATGTTATTATACATATATTTTCTCAATCCACATGGTCATACATTCATTCAACAAATGTATATGGAGAACTTCACGTGTGCCAGTCTCTCTGCAGGCACGGGGAATTCAACAGGGAACTAGTTATTATAGATGCGGCTCCTGGTCTCCGGTGTTTCCAGTCTCGTAGGAAAGAGACAACAAACAAATAATAACAAACTGGGGGAGCCCTGGGAAAGCAAACACTGAGAGCGAGTATGTCAGAAAGCAACAGGAGAGGGGGAGACAGATACTCAAACGAGGCTTTTCCAGGAAAGTGACTTTTAGACTCAGATCTAAGTTCTGAGAGGCAGCCAGCATGGAAAGAGGTGAGGAAATGGCATTCCAGGCAGCGGGATCAGCACATGCAAAGGCGCAGCCAAGAAAGAAAGCTGTCAGGTGTGTGAGGAACTGAAATAAAGCCGGCGTGGATTCGGCACACCGGACAAGGAGTGGGGTGGAGTGAGAGATGCAGGCAAAGCCAGACCGTCCAGTATGGGTCACTGTAGGTTTGGGACTTCCTTGTAATCACAGTAGGAAAGAGTGTAGAGGGGTAGGCCGCTGTCTGTCTAAATTAAGAAAATGGTGGCTTGGGCTGCAGGCCAGTTAGCACTTCACTGTATTTCTCGGATACTCAAAGTAATATTCATGAAAATATTTCTGTCTCAGAATACAGAAAGAACACTGGCATCCTGAACATTTTCCCAAAATATGAACAGTTCCTTCGAATAGAGCCAGTCAATTGTGTACTGATAGAGGCTTGGACCTTCACGGTACTCTTTTCCACAGAGAAAAAAGGGCTATTGAAATTAGAATCCAAAGGGCAAATTTTTTTCTCTTTAACGCTGGGAACACTGGTTCCAAAAGGCAACATTTCGTCCGGTTGGTTATTGTCCTGGCCAGGATGTTTCCAATGGGTTCCGACCTGTGACAGAGCTTCAGGCCCTGAAGCCAGAGACGGATGTTGCTGTCTTCACGCTGAAATTCCACAAGTTCACCGTAATGTTCACTCTAAATTTATTCTCATTGTTTACTCTCACATAAGCAGCATTTTTGTGCCCGAGGCATTCTCCCAAATGAGGGGGAGGCTGTTTCTATATCCTTCTGTGTGTGAAGGACAGAGTCTCAAACTTGCAATAAGGACATAGTGATCACACGCGTACCTTAATGAGCGTGTAGAGAGTATTTTATGATTTTTAAGCACCTTCGCCCATTGGTGAATGCACGAATCTTGGAACAGGAGGCATCTGCCCTCTTTGGTCCTCTGAGGGGAGATTGAGAAATCAGCTGTCAGTGATCTCCCCGGGGTCTCTGAAGCTTTGGTGATGTAAGCACTTTTCTTCATGGGTTAAATTTAAGAGGAAAGAAAAATCTGCTGACTTTCTGTTTTGTATGGCAATAAGCCAATTTTCCTTTCCATATGCTGCTTGCCCTGGGGCACCCATAAGGGACATGGGATTTACTCCCACGAAGGAGAGGCCTTAGAGCATGGGGGGTAGAGGGGAGGAGGAGTGAGACAGGTTGGGGTACGGTTAGCTCTTTGCTGTGATCTGCAAAAGCATATAAAAAAGGGGACTGGAGGCTGGGGGGGGGAGGACTTTCCACTGAGTCAGGCTGGCATTCATGAAAGCAAGGTTTTCTTGAATTATTATGCGAAGCGGGTTGCTGGCAGGCCCAGGCCAGGCGTGTCTGAAGGGCAGGCCTCACTGAGGCCGCGCTCCAGTGGGGTTTCCTCACAAAGCAGTGAGCCACAGTGTGAGAATCGCTCTGAGGCGGGAAGTAGAGATGGCCACGAGAGCACACAGGGAGGGCCTGGGGCCTGCGGAGAGGCAGGTTTCCTGGAGGAAGTCCTTTCTCCGCTTGGGTTAAATAATGAAGACTGGGATTTCAGGCACAGGAGTGGGGTGGGGTGGGCTAGAAGTGGGAGCGAGGGGGAGGAGGCTTGTGACATATAAATGGGAGGTGAGCCTGATTCAATGTGCTGCGCAGTGAGTAAGTGGGGTGGGCCAGGGGTGATCAAGAGGGCGGGCTGGAGATGTGTATCCAACTCCGCAGGGCCTTGCAGGGCAAGCTGAAGATTGATCTGAGCACAGGGGAACCCAGCGAGGATTTTAAGAAGGAGAGTGATCAATCGGGAAAGATTAGGCGTCAGCCTAATGGAGCGGAGGGGTCAGGAGATCAAACCGGAAGCCAATAGGAAGCTGCTGCCATAATGCCAGTGACAGGTAATGACCTGAACCGAGGGACTGTGGGGTGGGCACAGTGGATGGAATGAGGAAGAGGGAATAATGAGATCTCATCATTGGTTGGGAGGAGGCCTATGCTTCCTAGTCTTCTGGCTTAAAGAGCTGGTGGAGGACGGGTCTGTCCTCTAAGAGGGAGCCCCAGCCAGCTGGGTCACGAAGCCTGGCTCGCTCGACGGCAGGTCACGCTGTGTTGAGAGAGAAATTGGAGGCAGCCAAAACGTAGCTGTGAATCCAGAATCACAGTATTTCCCAAGACGGTCTTGTTGCATGCCTAGCCTCCTGAGAGCTCATCCGGTCTAGCCTTACTACAGAGAAGAGTGCCCTGCCTCGGACCATAAACGACAGGCACCCTACTCATGAGGGATTTCCTTTAGGAGGAAAAGTTAATTGTTTCCTGGGACACAGCTTCACTGGGGATGCCGTCATAACCCAGTGTGTAAAAGGGATGACTTGGCAGAAATAATTTAGCAATAAATATATCATTATTCATATCATTTATCTGAGTAAAATTGCTGAACAAGAAATTCTAAATTATACTATCCTGATTGAAAAAAGCTGAAGTACTTGTTGAACTTTGCAAAGTATTTCATCCCAACCTGCTACTTTGTTTTTTAAATTGTGAGCGTAAGTGATTCTGATATTCCATAGGGGTTTAACAAACTATGGGCCTGGCTACAGTATTATAAATGTCTGCAAAGCTTTTTTTTTTTTTCACTTACATGTGATTTATTATAGATGAGATTGTTCTGAGGATATAGTGAAAGAAGCCCCATTATATTCTAAACTGAAGAGTTGATTTCAGAGCTATACAGAGAGATTTCCAGGCTGTCTGAACATGGTGGAACTATTCTATAGCTCTGTCTTAAATATCTTAAAAATCTATTTAAATGTGTTCATCTACACACCTCTCAATTATATATCTATAGCCTATCTCCTTCCAAAAACTATATAAGATAGCTCCAAAAGCTTTAGCCTCCATTCAAAGCCAGTTTTCATAAAAGTTGGTATGTTTGTAACTGCAAAAGCTTTTTGAAAGATAATTTATAGAGGCCGCCCGATTGCTTCCCTTTCAGATTGCATCCCAAAAATGCGTATGATGACGGCTGGCTTTTTGGAAGCTGGAATAGGTTTTTCTCCCAGAAACACTGGTTGAGTTCCCAGGAAAGGACACAAAAGGCTGGTCAACCGTGAATATCTATACTACTTGTCTGAATTCTGGGTCCTACAAGTATTACTGAGGAGAGTAGAATAAAGGGCCCTCCCCTGACCCCCATCACCACTATTTTCTATATAAAGAGGAAAATTCTAGAAAATGTGAAGTCTGTCTTGTTATCGCCACCCTTTTCTCCCTGTTCTCTCCTGGTGGTGCTTCTGTGCTGCCCAAGCCCTCAGTGCTTTCCCTCCATTTGGTCCTGATCCAACTCCTTAAAAATGTCATATTTCCCAACCATTGCTTCTTTCTTTCCTAACAAAACTCCTATGCCCTCAATGTAATTCTCTTAACTTCCCATTAAAACATTCTCATTGAACACCATATGTGAATGACTAATGGTGTCTGAGTATTTTCAGAGCTCTTCTTTAAAAAGATAGGGAATATATACTATTTCAAATGTTTATATTTTTTGGAGGAAGAACGAAATGCAACTTAACAATCAAAAGGGGGGAAATTCCAGTTAGGACAAGATGTTTTTGGACCAGGGTCTCCCAAGTTCTGTTCTTTAAATTCCTACTTTCATTATTATTTTTTTATTTACAATGTCTGCCTTTACTTTTCAATGACAGCAACAGTTGACATGAGTGTACCACTTTATAGGATGCGTTTGTAGACAGCTGAGCCTGTCAGGTATTATTCCTATTTAACAGAAAGGGGCATCAAGGCTCAGAGCAGGTAGGTGCCTTGCTCAGGGTCTCCAGCTCCGACTGGAAGGACCCAGCACCCGAGCCCCAGCTCCTGGTCCACTTCTGCTGCGTTCAGCTTCCTGCCCAGGTCCCAAAGTTCCCAGCACCTCCATGCTGACAGTGAAGGTTCTGGTACTGCTGGTGAAGGGAAGGGCATGGAGAATCAGGGGTTAGGTCAGGACTGCCATCCCTAGAAAATCGCTTTTGTCAGAATGTAGACGTGTCTCCTCCCATAAGAAATGGTTTCTGTAATACAATAACAGTTGATATAAACTTGAGATCTGGCCAGAAGGGGTGGAGGAGTCAGGAGTAAGGGAAAGCTTGCACATTCAAGGAATATAATATATATATTAATATATATTTATATATACATGTTACATTACATATCAGAGAACATAGTTCAATATCTACCATAACTGTTTTTTAACTTGCCATTATTGATGAGACAGTGACATCATATAACCTATAAACAAACATCAGTGTTTAGGAAACACTCAGAGAACATTCACTAGACCAAACAGTCAAGAAGTGGAGGGACAAAAAGGAGGTATAATTCAGGAGGCCGTAATATTCAAAGTCGTAATCAGAATTAAAACGGGGCCTGTCAAAAAGAGTCTGTGTTTGGAAGAAAGAAGTGCCTGGATGGCACTGTGACCATGGCATGGAAACTCTCCTGCTGCACGCACCTGTTTGAAGGCTGAGGTCACTTTCTCTTGGGGGCCAACCCAGCTAATGGCGGTGAGAACGGCTGCCTAGAACACACAGGTGCTCAGAAGGCAGCCGCAGCTTTGCGCGGGAAGCACCGCGGAGCTATGCAGGGCTCAGAACCATGAGCCCTGGAAACTCTTGCTTTCATCTGCCCTGTTCTAGAAGCGCTCTGAGAAGGCAACAGGGAAAGAGCACAATCAAATAATTAACTCTTCCCCTATTAAAACATTTAAAGAGATACCTGGACTTCAAAATAATATTAGGCAAACATTTGTGAAAAGCTTCTCAACCAGGAATGAAACGTTGCAACTGAGATTAAAGGAAGGTACTGACTAGACTATTGCCTGCATTAAAGAAAAGTGAGTCACGGGATCTTCTCGTGGCAAAGAAAGGGGTTTGGGG